ATGCTCCTCTCCTCACAGCTCCTCACAGTTTCTTACATGACCCACTCCACTCCACTCCACTCCACACCAGTCAAGTCAAGTCAAGTCCAGTCGACCACAATCAGGAAGATCATCGGTGATGATGATAGGCAGCCTTGTCTTACTCCTTCCTGTCTTCACTTCAAAAGCATCACTCAGCTTTCCATTGTGAATCACTCGGCATGTAGCATCTTCATATGGCATATAGCTGCTGTTGAATGAGGTAGATAGAGATTTGTGGCACTAAAAGCATAGTGTTGAAGTAGCATCTGCCAAATTACTTCTCGGTTGACGTCTCGACTGAAGGCCTTTTGAAAATCGATGAAGTTGAGGTGACGTAGAGAGTTGACTGCCATTATGTGCTCTGTTCTATGATGGTGCAAAGCGTAGCGTTGCAATTCGATCGCACATGATTTGTTCTTCCTGAAGCCAGTCAGCCTGCCTGTTTCGGTCGTAATCCAGTGCATCCTTTAGTCTCTGCAGGATGATGCGGCTCAACATTTTGCTTGGTGTGGACAGGAGCATGATTCCGCACCAGTTATTGCAAAGACTTTGGTCTCCCTTCTTTAGAAGTTTGACAAGATAGCCCTTCTTCCACTCGACAGGTACCTTTCCTTCCTTTCAAAACCTTCTGTAATAGTGGTGTGTGTGCCCGCTGTTGTCTGTGCGTCTGTTTTCAGTGTTTCTGGTGGAATTCCATCTGGTCCCGCTGCTTTCTCGGTTTTCGGCAGCTTTATGGTGTTGAGAACCTCTGCTTGTGTTCACTGGTAATTCTGTGGCTGGGCTGCATGTGGTATTTCTGGACGAGTTGCGGGTGGTGGTGGTGGTAGTCGATTCAAGTGTTTATTGAAGTGGTCAGCCCACTGTTTCCTTTGTTTCTGCTATTTGCTAACTAGGTTGCCTTCACTATCTCTCATTGGTTTCATCTGTGTTGATCTCTTCCCTCCCAGATAGTAACCTGGTTATTTGATATAGTGTTGTCAGGTCTCCGTCTCTCCTACCAGCAGCTTGTTCTGCTTCACTCGTCAGTGTGTCGTAGAAGTGTCTCTTGTCTTTGCACGCACTCTTCTTCACTTCTTTGTCCAGTGTTATATAGGTTGTGTTCAGTCCATCTTTTCATTGTTCATCCTTGACCTGCACTGGTTCATCTTCTGCTTCACCACCTTCCTCTCCCTCCTCTATCAGCTTCCATGTGTCCGTCGAGATCCATTCCCTGTCCTGCCTTTTCTCTCTTCCTTCCTGATACTGTTATGCAGCTTTCCTTCCACGTCGCTTTCAGAGAGTTCCAACGTTCTTCTATGCAGGTTCCTTCAGGGATTTTACTTAATGGCTGACGTGAAGATGTCGTTTGTGGTTTCGTCCTTCAGTTCAGTTTGTGTTCTGGGTGTGCAACTTGAACTGTGGTCTATCACCAGCTTCTTTGAATCGAAGGCTTTCAACTTGATTTTGAAGGTAGGTTCCTTGCACTAGACAGTGAGTAGTGTGAACCTACATCTGCTCCCCTTCTTCATCTGATCTTGTGTCGAGTAGGCTGACTGCGTCTCCACTCTCTCCACATTGAGATCAAGTCGATCTGATTCTTAGGGTGTCCTGGTAACTGGTGAAATCCATGCAGCTTTGTGGATATCCTTGTGTTTTTACACAGTGCCTCCAGTCACCAAATCGTTGAGTGCATAGAAGTCTGCAAACAATTCTCCATTCTCATTCATTTCACTGAGTGCTTCTCGACCCATGATGAGTTCGCTTCCTGTGTTGTCCACTCCCAGTTTGGCATTCATGTCACCCCTCCCATTAGAATGAATTTTGGTGTCGCCAACTGGAGTGGAGTTTTGTTCAGTACTGGTTGCAGTTGTCTGTAGAACTCCTCCTTCTTCTCTCGATCTGCATTATTTGTAGGTGTGTAGCGTAGCGTATCATTGAATGATTGTGACTTTACTTCCTTTTGAGTTGAATCTTGTTGTCATGATCCTGATGCTGGAGGAGATTGTTTCCCACTGCATGAGAGCCTTCGATTTTCTTGGGGACATTTTGATAGCTACTGGAGAACTGAGTGTGCTCGTGGTTGTCGTCTGGGTCACAATATCGGAGTAGATTATTGACTGCTCTCCAGTTGACAGTTTTGAGGGTCCACTTTCTTTCCATTTGCAGATTCCCAGGCTAGGACTTCTATGCAATGCCTTCTCGTCCTTTTTTGCAATCTGTGCAGCCTTGCTAGGTCATACATGGTGCAGACATTCCATGTCTTATGTTACTTTCGCTTTCATCGAGAGAGAATACACATCGGCCAATTGGCTTCCCTAAGGCTTTCACCAACTGGCGTCATTTCGTCTCTCCGATTTCAGTGAGGAATATGTTTACTTTTGTTTTTTACATTTTATTTATGCTTCGAAATTTGTTCAGCGATTGGATTTGTTTTCCAGGGTAGGTTTGCTAGCCGTATGCCCAACTCTCCCTCTTTCTCCAGGCTATGGACCGGCTAATTCCTGGGGAAGCTTTTGTCTGTTTTCTGTCGATTTATTCTGACAGCCTTTTTCAATGAAGAATGTAGATGAAATTTGGGGTAGAATAACTGTTATCGATTAAAATTTTTCATTGAATCTATTACTGAGGCTAATTTTAGTCCATAGCATTCAGCCCTTTGACATGGTGTTCTGCAATCTTTCAGTGGACATAGACAATAACTGTGGATTTTATAATGATAAACAATGGTGAGCATGAATGTATATATCTTTCGGGATGCATACAATTCTTCAGGGCACACTTATTTATTTGAAGAAGAAGGATACTTCATGGAATCGTGTAATGTGCTTGTCAAACATTTTCTGTACGTTAATCATTTTAAAAGCATTCCAGGTTTCAACCAGTTATCATTTGTCTACGAGATGTCTGGCGATTGCACTGGTTAAAATTTCACTTTTTTCCAAGCACAGGTTCTTAGGGATATACTCAATGAACGGAATGGACGCCTTACTGTCAGTCTTTCTAATATATTTGATACCTCAAGTTCATGTGAAGCCATAAATACAGTTGGAGGTGAGATGAGCAAGGTAATTATCTGATTTGAACTGGTTCAGCGAAGATGTAGTATTGTATACTGTTACAAGTTTAGCTACAGAAGAGTTACTTCTCAGCGCTCTTTTGATTCTTTCAGTCTAGTCTCTTAGATATTGCATCTCACTCGAATGTAAGGTAAATAAAAACCTTTTCTGCAGTGTTTATCTCTCGATCTGTTTTTTTCCATACTTCATTATAAATCCTCTGCTTTATTCAATTTTATCAAGGAATCCAAATGCATGGAACTATGATTGACTTTCATCCTAATTTAGTTTCACTCGATGAAATAAAAACCAGTATTCATGTTATTTTGGTTTAAGAAGTATTAAAAATCATTCATTATCTACTAGAAAATCGTATTATAAGAATTAGATCACAATGACTTCAATATATCAATGTATTAAGTTGAAATTCATGTTATTTTTGTATAATCAAGTGAATAATGAATTCATTCATAAGCGTAAGCAATTATTGATTAAAGGTGGACCTAGTATGTCTACACTCAGTTTCAGTTACATTTCTAGTGCTTGCATAAATGGTAAAAGTCAATTAGTTATCGATAAGCAGTCGTGATTCGCTTGTACTGCTAAGATGGCTTGGGCATGTACTTCATATGCTGAGCCATCACCAACCTTGATGTACCACGCTAGGGGAAGTTAAAGTAGAGTGGAAAAGCGTTCAGAGTGGCCGGATCAAGACGTGGCACCAGTTGATGAACACCTTGGCCTTTGGTCTGAGTCATTTGGAAGGATGTAAACTATCCGGTTGAGGATCATCAAGACGAAAGAAATCAATGGTTGATGACTCTTGATGACATGGTTGAGAATCAATCATAGTGGTGCAGATGCATTCACTACTTGACATCTTCTAAAGCTCGATTATTTACACAAGTTGTTTATTCTTTCAGGAAAATTTACCTAATATGATATCAATCTTTTTCTATCCTCTTGTTCTTTGTATATTACTATAAAGAGTGTGGTAGCTTCAGCCGATGCGGTCGGCTGTGAGGTTCTACTTCGATTTTGTCAATCAGTATACTAATGAAAAGTAGAGGCATTAGCCCTAATAATCCTGATTGTTTACACTTACTTTTGCCTTTATTTGTATCGGAAGCTTATATGAATCATTTAGTAAGTAGGTAACTTTGTGTTAGCCTTAGGGTGAAGAACATTTCATCATTAAATGTCAAATCTTTTTCTGTAAATTCATTAGGAATAATAATTTCAGAGAGTTAAAACGTTCTTTGTTTTTGTTGTACCCATTACACTGAAACCAGTACGCGCTATGATGAAAGTTTTCCAGACAAACAGATGGACTTTCTTAAAAATCCGTGTAGCTTCCACTTCAACTTAATTTCAGGAAGCTGTCCGTAATAGTATGACTGCTTATATTATACCGTCGTTGATTGGACCAAATAATATTAAAACTTCACCTGTCTCACAAGAAGTGGCTGTCTTGCCTCGATCTTCTAGCGGATAACCCTTTGGCTTTGATACAATCGGTCCGGGGTTCGAATCCCGGTGGCAACAACACTCTGGAAGGCAGGTGCATCTAGCTGACGAGTCCCAAATAGGACAAAATGCGCATCCTGGATTCCACTGCTAGCCACTATCCATCATAACTGTCTGCAATGTCTTGTGTGTGTGTTTGGAGGGTATTTTCGAAATATATTTACTCAGATATTTATGCTTGTTGTCATATGTTTACTTGACCTTATTTATGAGAGAAACATCACATATGCAAAAGATGCATCTGAAATGACTTAAAGTGAGAAGTGCTTAAAAAACTGCACAGTCAGGTAGGGATAACAGGTAGGTGAGCTAGCAATCATGGATAGAAGATTACTACTCATCGTTAGTACACCAGTAAAGTTATTGTAATTATTTCTTTATTCTTTGTTTTTCTCTTCGCAACTAATCCATATTTAGATACAATTATTTATCAGTTGTCAAATTGTAAGTACATTGAAGAGGGATGGACTATCAGTCATGCAGATGACTTTAATAATGATGTAAACTTGGTCACAATAGATCAAGCTAGAAAATCTCTACAGTTGGACTATGATGCACTAATAGTTAAAAGGCACTTACCAACAGATCTGAGTGCTTTCCAACTTGATTTTATACAACAAGAATATTCTAATGGAGAGGTATTCCTACGAAAGTATAACGATGATACTGGAGTTATATTGTATCCTTTAGGTGTTGCTATGTTATCATTTGTTCTTTAGTCTTTCTTACTGAAGTGTTCAGCTTATAAAACAATTAGATGTGGTGCTGTAAGAAATACAAGGAAGTCAACCAGAATATTTGCAGTGACCTTCAGCTAACAAATTGTTTTTGATTAGGTAAACAAATGAATGAGGTATAACGTTAACTAAGGTTCATTTTTCTAAAATCATCATGGTATATTCAGTACTGAAGTGGTAGAATATTAATAGTCTGAATGACCTTCTGAATCGAAAAAAGAAATTGAAATGCACTCAGAAACCTTGTGCACATTCGTGCAGTAAGCAGTCAGCCACACCTATTGTGTGACGTTTAATGATACTATCTGGCTATCCAAACATCAGTAAGTGGACCAAAGCTCGAATCCACTGTTTAAAAGTCATCTCCCTAAGCCAATATGCCACAGTTCGGTAATTTAACGTATTATATTATATGAAAGTAGATAAGACTTTTAAGTTGCAATAAATGAATACTACTCTATTGCTGAAGGAAGGGATAGAATGGTACTGAGATTTTACTATTCCTAAGAATGTACTTCACGATGTTTTACGATAAGATGTTGAAACTCACAGTAAGTTTTATACATTAGGAATACATAGAAATATCTACACAAACTGCTCACCAGTAGGTAACTGGTGTGAGTACCTCGACTTTAGTGCTTAGCATCGACTGAAGGCTATTGATCAATTTTGTAGATTTAAAAAGTAGTCTGATAAACTACTCATTGCTTAGTACAGTAGATTGTTTCCAATCGAAGCGACTAATGGGATTAGTCTATCTTATAGCCGAGTTGTTACAATTCAAGGTCAGTAACCACCTAGAAACTGTTACTTCAAATTCATATTGCGACTGTAAATATTCAAGCATATTTATGGTGAAAATAATGATTTCGTATGAATGTTGAGGTCGATTTGTACCAACTGTAGTTCGTTATTATTATACTTCAATAGAAAAGTCACTCTTTGAAATCTATCATATGTGATTCGAAGAGTGTGATTCGACTTAAAGTAGTCTGGTTTTAGGTTCATAATTCTCTTTCATTGAAACTTACACAGAGCTTCTCATCACCATCATACACAACTATATCATTTTAATGATGTATCTTTTAGAAATATTTGTTTTCAAAGGTATTAGTTGTCTTAAACAGTGTGAACTAAAGTGACTCATCAAAACTGATTGTCAGTAATGCATAGAAATCCTTCCAACGTTAAAAAGCTCATGATTGATTTGTTGCATGAAATTGTATGTAGAGTTAACCATAAGGTTATAAACTAGATAGATTCACTGTGTAAGAGTATTGGAATGACATTAACAATGATTTGGCCTTTGTTACTGACGTTGACTTCGTTTCTGGTTTATTGTTTGTAGGTGAGTTGATCTTGCAAACACTAATTTCACACTAGCTAACTCAGAGAGAAGAAGGTAGATGGTTAGTTCATAAAATTCTAAATGATATTAAATGCAGCAAAATATAAAGAAAACGCACAATGCCTAAAAAAGTATGGGCGACCTAATCAGGGTGTCAACGAATGAGGTCAAAAGATAGGCAGACACTTTAAGGACACTTGTGATTGATTAGTTTTTCTTTCTGGGTACGGATACAATCACCATAGGGTTTGTCTCTTTGATAACAAGTTCTTTTGTACAGATGTATGCCAGAATGCTCTTCTTGAATGATTTAGGAGGTCACCTTAGCAACGACTGAAATAACCAAATAGGTTTGTTTATTTCATCTTGAAAGGTAGTTTTTTCATAAAATATGGAAATTCAATTGGTTAATTCTGCATTTTTAGGGTGGTGCTGAAAGTCACTCTTTTTCTTACAACTGCCTTTCAAAGCCTATGACTCAATTTATGAACTGTTAGTTCATTTTCCATCAAAGCAGATAGAAGGAAAGATAAAAATAAACTTATCGAAAGATAAATATTCTTGTGAAAAATGTCTACCATGTACATTCATCGATAGGATATTAAGTTATATCGGTTTATTATTTTTGAATTTGGGGGTTTGTGGGGATTTAGTGATTTTTTTCAAGTTGGTATCCATCATGGATTGACGTGAGTTGGAGAAACATTTATAACCTAGGAGTACTAGAAAACTGTTTCGTCCTAACATGAGACTCCTCAGCAATGGGCATCCATGACCCCACCTTACCAAGGATCGACAACAGAACCTTCAGGTTCCGTGGCCAGCACATAACCATTGGACCACTGCGTCCTGAGACATTCTTCCATATACACCTATGAAGTGTTGATGAAGTTATCCAGTTTGATGGTGAAAAGTTCAGAAGCAAACATAAAAGCCTAAAGAACCCTGAACAATTATCATTCTAATCCTGAGCTACGAATCTTATCTGCTATTGTATAATGTTTCATTTTCTGAACCCTATTTCAGTGTAATGTTGTATTACAATTACATCTTAAAACTATTATATCGTCTAAGTGTATTCTACCACAATTTAACAAAATATGTGAATTAAAACATTTTAGTGGACTTTATAAAGTTCCATCCAATGGTGATATTCAACCTCTGAAGAAAAAAAACAGAATCTGCTATGAAGAAGTTGTGTAAAATCGACTTCATTGATAATAACTATAACATCTTGAAGTGATCTGTTGCATAATTCACCTTTTTAATATCATAACATTTGACTGATTTAATTTAGATATTCATTTGTAAGAGGTATTCCATCTAGTCTCAATAATGGTAGGTAAGTTCATATGGGAAAGTACCAGTATATTAAACTTAGATCAGCGTACATATATCTTTAAATTAGTTTACTCATTTAGGGACCTAACATAGACTTGAACATGACTTTTATTATGAGTCAGTAATTACTTATATAGAAGTCATCGTAGCCCTTCAGTTCAATATGAGATTCCTTCTTATGTATGCTTCTAAGCAACTCACTTGTACATTATCACAAATCTGGAACTGAGTACTTACCTGGCCTCGTCTTGGTTTTATCGTGTTCTTTGAGCCGGGTTGTTTAATCGGGAAGCTTTCATCGTCTTTCTAGATGACATCATCAGCAATAACTTCAGTATGAAGTCAGCTGTCAATATCTCTCCGTGAGTGATTTACTGGCTTGCTCTGACAATGTGGTCTGTGATTCGTTGCTCCCTTCGATTGTTGTGCCATTGACTGCATAGACATTCCTGTTGGCTGTTCCTCTGCTCCACCTATCACCTTCCTGTCGTTTATCATTTTCTGCATTGGTTGATAGATTCGGTCTATGTCTATACATCTGTTGACTGCTCACTGACTGATCTGAATGCCAAGCTTCTAGGAATTCTCTGATATTCTTTATGTTCCCCCTCACTATCCAAGATTTCTACATTGTCGAAATTGAATTCATCTCCATAACTATTCACATGTATTGAAATGAGTGATGAAATGTCATGACGTTTAATAGCCAATTGGTGTTCATGTAGACGAAGGTGAAGAGGGTGACCACTTTGTCCAATGTGGTGTTGACCACAGTTGTTGCAGTTGATTGTGTAAATGATATTCGGTTTATCTTCCTTGGTGGTTGCATGCTTTGGTCTGTATAATAGTGTTTCGAGGGAATTTGTTGGTTTATGAGTGGCCACACCAATTCCAAGTGGTTTGCCTCAGCAATCCTGTCGTGATTTCGGATACATTCTTTATGTATGCTAGGACAATGCGTTTGTTGATTTCTATCGATGACTTTGTAGTTGATGATGTACGGGATAGGCATCTATCTTCTGATAAAGTTTTGTGGGTAGCCGTTCTTCTTTAGGATGGACATCAAGTAAATTTATTTGTTTCTCCACGAAGTTGTTGTACTGCAGTGTGTTCTCGCTCTTTTGAATAGAGTATGCACGCAACTGATTTTGTGCGTTGTCGCTACTGTAGTTGAGGAATTGATCAGTGTGTGTTGGCTTCCTGTACACATGTGTTTCCAGCTTTCTGGCATTTGTCCTACTGACTAAAACATGCAGGAATGGTAGTTGGTTGTTTGACTGCTTCTCCAGAATTTTTACCTTGAATTTATGATTACCTATATTTTTGGAATAAGTTATCACATAAGGTGAGAGTTTTGATCAGTAAATGCTGCAATGGCACTCTAGACGTCATCATCATGGATTTAACTGCTCAAAAATGTTGAACTCAAAGGAATAAATTAATCTGAATATCTACATCCTGTGCTACAACCACTTTTCTCGTCATTTGTTGAGTAGAACATATTTTAGCGCTATAGAATATTGTAGTGAGTGTTACTGATCATAATAGATATAAGGAGTATATTTTGGGGGGTCGACAGAAATCGTAGGCAATTACCACCGATGGGTAAATATTGTACCCAGAGGAACGCAAGAGACAATCTGAGAATATTAAGAGCAAGTCGTGATGGAAGTAGAAGAGGAAAGAAAACGCATCGTACAAATGACTATTTTAATGCAAGGTGTATACTACTGTACAATATGTCATAATAAACTATTCTTTCCTACATCTCAGTCTGATCGTTTCTTATAATATCAGTCAGTAGTTGTAAGTGAAAGCATTTAATTTTTTTTATCATTATTGTATAATAATTAAATATATAGAAAGGCAAAAGCCTTAACACAATGATTAAACTGATTTCTTTTCAAAATACTCAGTTATTCAACTGGTAATCCAGCAATACTATTCCTACCACAAACAGTAAATACCAACAGTAGTAATGATAATGACAGTAGATCACTTGGCTTATTATTCATTGTTCACGACCAGTTAGACGTGGATATGACAAGATTCACTGAGAAAGAAAGAAATGATAAACATAAAAGAGATACTTCACGGGTTGTACTGAAAATTAATAATAATAAAAATAAGAAGAAGAATAGTAGCGGCAAAACTAAGAAGTCAGGTACTCTGGATGTACAATCAACTGTTGGAAAGTTGATTGGTGTATTTGATACAAATATTCACGGAGTTGTTTATGACCGAAACAACAACATACGGTAAGTTATAAGTTAATGTAGTAGTAATGAGAATAACTAACTCAGTCGTGACCTGAAAAGTTCAGTGGTTAAGTCATTGATCTGGGTTCGAACCACCGAGGAGTTGCAGATACACCCTAGTAGCAAGTACCAACAAACAAGAAACCTAGGTTCAAGCCTTCCTGCCAACTGACTCTCAAAACCTAATACCGAAGTCTACACTAGTTACAATAAAAAAGGGAAAAGGATGAAATCCAGTTACTTGAAGTTTTGATCTTCTTGGTTGTTGCTGAATCACAGGACAGAATTAACCAACTACTTCTGGTCTGTTGGATTGTTATATAAACACCTCAGTATTACCTATGACTAGGTCTTATCTGTATACGTAACAGCAGAATCTAGAACTTGTAATTTATTTAGGTTATGACTCATCAGCTACATTTGTGTCAATGCTGGACTTGAAACTGAAGCCCAGTACCTATCACTTCGAATGCCAGAGAGTTGTCGAGTCGACTACTGCGTTTCTAATCTATTCAGTCCTCTAGATCAAACATGAGGAAGATCAAAACGACTAGTAATAAGCTGATGCTCTTGAACAAGATGTGGCCATCATAACTTAGCAGCATAATGTATAGTGTTGCACTGTTTGAAGCAATTGATGCTGAGTTTGAGTCTCAGGTAGAGCACTAGCACTGGTATGCAGACAAACTCAGCTAATGAGTCCTGAGTAGGGTGGAACGTGATTTCTGGTTCCCACTGGCAGCAAATACCAAATATTAAACTTCAGAAGAGACTTTACGGCGATTTCATTCATGAAGCTGTACAATCGCATTTATATAAAATTCCTGGTGAAAAGGTACAAGTTGTTTCGTACGCGAAAGCAGTTAGTTAAGCATAGCAACAAGCATGATAATACATCCAAAAATCCAAATGTCATTTTTATCTTAAAGTAATCATAGTGTTTATGAATACTGAAAAGTAATCAAAAGGCATAGAAACAAGCAAGAGTTAAAAATGTCACTTTTGTATGTTCCTTTTCCTTATAACTCTTTCACATTCCATTCTCATATCTTGGATATTATCAACAATCCTTTGTTTCCCTGTTAACAATTCATTCATTAAATATTTTGTCGGGCTACAAATAACTTTCAAGGCCACTCTAGCAACAATTGAAATAACTAATCAGAATTCTCTACTTTATGAAAATCTACGTTTCCAGTCGAAATAAAGAGACTTAATTGGTTATTTTTGTCCTTCCAGAAAGTGGCCTTTAAAGTTGCTCCATGCTACTCAACTTGTTATCCAAACAATCATTTTTACTCATTTGAACAATGCAAGAATAAACGAATTTGCAGAATAAAATTAACTCATTATATTTCACTGCTCCTCATCAGCTGCAGACAGCCTACAATAAAATGATTTAATTTTATTCTGCAAATTCGTTTATTCTTGCATTGTTCAAATAAGTAAAAATGATTGGATAACAAGTTGAGTAGCATGGAGTAACTTTAAAGGCCACCCTCTTGAAGGACAAAAATAACTAATTAAGTCTCTTCATTTCGACTGGAAACGCAGATTTTCATAAAGTAGAGAATTCTGATTAGTCATTTCAATTGTTGCTAGAGTGACCTTTAAGGTCGTTCTTTAAAGTCACCTGAAAATGATATTTCGATCGTTTTAAATATGTTTTACCTTGCTTGTTGCATGATTAACTAACTGCGTTCATACATGAAACAAATTATGAATTAATGTATTTTGAGGTTAATGGGGATTTTAAATTTGAGGTAGCTTTCATAATGGACTGGCATCAGTCGGAGAATCATTGAAAACCTTGGAGCACTGGATAGCTGTTTCATCCTGGCAGTACACACCTATGACATGGCTAGAAATTGAACTCAGGACCTTCAGATTTCATGACAAAAGCGCTAACCAAGTTCTAATGAGAAGCTGTAACCTCTGGGGTCAGCCAGTCGGAAGTGAACTGGAAGCCAACTGAAGACCTTGGTGTATAGTCACGGTATACAGCGAATTGACAGAAGTAGGAAACTGTGGATCATTGAATTACGACCTATTGGTTGAATAGTTACTGCGTTCGCTGTGAAACCTTGAGTTCAACCTCGTGCCAGGTCGTGGGTGCGTACTGCTGAGGAGTCTCAAACTGGGGTAAAACAACTGTCCAATGCTCACAGGTTTTCCAACTTATGTCAATCCGTAATGAATACTACGTCACCAAAGATTGTATGTAATTACGATTGTACAACATGGTGAATGAATTCACTAAACCTGATAAAAATAAAATTTCTCAAAGACCAATCAGTGATTGAATTTCTCTTGAAATTTGATTGGCAGTAAGAGGAAAGTTATGCTATAGCCGATAAAACAGCTGCTCAGTAATTAGGAGTTGATTATTTAAGAAGTATTTTTAAGTTGGTTTATCGTTTTTGTCTAATATTTGAGTTTGTTCTCAAAGTCTATCCTAGACACTTTCATCACACCGTATGGAAGTGTCTTCATTCAAATAACATCTATTAAAGTACACTACGATGGTTAAGAGTCTCTTAGCTTAGTGGTTACACTGCAAAATGACGGATAGAATTCAATCAGCAATTAGGATTCAACAAAACAAAATTGCTTACTCTCCACTGACCAATAAGAGAATTCTACAGTATTTAACCTACATTCAGGAACATAATGCTGGTTTTTACTAGGTAAGATTTGACTGCAGGATTTCCTTTCAAGTCATCTAGTCTTAGATAGGAGTTGTATTCGATAAGGCAGTTTATGGGTTGAAAACGGTTGTCATGACGGATGGTGAAAATATTTTAGAGAATGACTAGAAACCATGAAGTACTGAACAACTGTTTCACCCGAGCTTAGAACACTACAACAGTCTTCACTCATTAACCTTATGTGAGACGTAGCTAAAGGTCTTGCAAAGAGTTCGCGAAAGATTATTATTCATTCTTCTTCATTGGGAATTTCATGCCAATAAAAAGAGAAATTAAGTTGTTCACTCATATTCGAAAACAAACTGTCTCGTCACACATGACAGATATCTCAAAAACCTTCAATCAGTTTTTTATATATGCTCGGCATCAGTACAGAACATAAACCAACAAAATGACTGCAGTCGAATAAGTCGATAAAGACAAAAAACTGTCCGGGACACATCACCAACTGTCGATTAAAATGGCCAGAAATAATTCTGAGTCAGTCGCCTATTCACGTGATGAGAATTTCACAACCGAATATCGAAGCTCTAAAGAAATCAAATACTTATTCACCCGATTAAAAAGATATTTCCAGGATAAGTTGTCCGAACGGCTACAACCTATTATGAGTCTTAGTAGTTGTGACATTACTACAGTTTATTGTAATAATATCAAGACATTCACACAAGGAATCGATATGCCATAATGCAATGATCACTTCAATTCACTAATTTTAACAACGAGTATTTAAAAAATTTCAACCATATCTATTATTGTCTACTAAGCTTTTAAGCAAAGATACGTATTTCTGCAGAAGGTTTTACGTTACAATCTACTTCAAAGAGTAGAACAATAAACTTGTCACTTTCTGGAAAGGGAAAATATAAACCATTTCACAAATAACATTAAATCAGTTAATTTTGAAAACCCCTTCATCTTAGATAAAAATTGTGAAATTGTATGCCATCTGCTTGTTGATTTTCTCTGTGCTTTCTTCTGGAATTCAATTCCCAGAACACAGGAGTGACTGGGTTGACACACTAAAAATCTCTAGGATAACAAATAACAGAAATCTGAGTACGTTTGGCATGCGTTTCGCACCTGTCAGATGTGAGATGATTCTGCAAAACTGGTCTGCAACTGCTCTCAAATTAATGATAGGGAGTGAAGTGGTGGAATATGTCGACCACTTGTATTACTCACATTTGGTGGGATCACCGCGTAAGCAATGTTGAGGTCAGGCGAAGGTTACTAGGCAGGCAGATCGATTTATGAGGTTGTAAACCTTCAGAGACTGAAGTGGTCTGGGCATGTACTGTGCATACTGATCCACCATCTACCTCGATGTCCTGTGCTAGGGGGAGTTGGACTAGGTTGCAAAAGGGTTGAGGGTGGCCAGACAAAGACCTGGCACCAGCTGGTGAAGTCTCTTACTGTTAGTACGGGTCGTGTGGAGGAGTTGTAGACTGACTGGCTGCGGTCCCCGAGACGAAAGGAATCAGTGGTTGACGACTATTGGTGATATGACTGAGTATCGATCACAGTGATGTAGATCTATTCACTTCTTGACATATTGAATACTTGCACTAACCGTTGTCCCCAACTTGTTTATTCTCTAACACAACTTTGACATCACTCTTTTCCTATCCACCTGTTTCCTGTTTACTACTGTGAAGTGTGGCAGCTTGAATTTATGCACCTGTGTGGGAGGTTCTACGTTGGTCTTTTCAGTCTGTCTGTAATGGTCAATGAAGGATAAAACCGGCTGTAATGAACTACACAAAGGCATCCATGATGATCAGCAGCATTCAAAAAGCAGGGCTGATCGAAATACAGAATGATATTTTCCAGAGTTCACTATGAATGAATCCAATCTCAACAGGTCATCGAAATCAAGTCACTTCAAAAATTCCTCCGGAAGGAATCAACTGAAGTGCATCAAAGGAATGAAATAACCATTCAGTGTACACATACAACATTGATTCGAGCGAAAGCCCTTTATCTGACCAGAGAGGGTCTAAAGGTCATTGTGTCTGAATTATGGTGAACGCGCTTAGTTCACTGCGCTCCTTGAGGACTCAAGTTACAACATAGTGCACACGGTTGGTGTCTCATAAAGTCATTATTATTATGTAGTGATTACAATTATTATTATTTACTCAACATTGTGATTTCAACTCCAAATAATGAAAGAAACATTAGCAGGATATTTGAATTGCTAACGCATGGTTTTAATTAAATTTAGATAAAATTGAATGTGGAAAATCAATAAAATGATTTGTTGCCTTTTTAGACTGGAATATAATCCAGATGGAGGTACATACTTTGGTGAAACATTGACGTCGGATAAGTATGCAAAAATACGTAAATGGAGATGGTCTGGAGAAACTCATGTTCATGCACCACCTTTCCAACCATTGATAATGAAGCTAAACAATTTTATAACACTCAAAGTCCATCAATTAAATAAAATTTACCTTCACTTTCATTCAATGAAATCAGTCTGCAAGGTGGACCTTTCATGTAAACAATTAAAAATACGATGTATAAATATAGAACAGCATAAACACTGATAAGAAGTGAACAATCTTCTTTGTATTAGTTAATATTAACCTGTATGTAAGTGAGAATGATGGTAACTGATGGATTATCTATTTTGATTATTACAGAATGTCATAATGCGTTTTTATACATATCACTTTTCTTTAATTCATGGGTTGAATATTAGTTCGCAGATGAAGATTAACGTCTAGTGAGTGGACTAGATGAGATAAATTTAACACCTATGTACTATTATTATTATGTAGTCATCTATCAGTAGCTTTGCTGTAAACTTTATTTGACTCCTCAAGAACGGATATCTTCCGCTAAGATTTCTGAACTGGCTCTATGGTCTTTTTGGTCAATAAAGTTGACAAAAGAGTCTAGGAAGGTTTGAACACATTTAACATATCTTTTATTCACTTCAAGGCTGGTTTAAACAGATGTCTACTTCAGTGATGTAGTAAATATGCTGAGTTCATTAATCAGTCTACAGCAGCCTCCAGGGATTGGTGCCAACAGGATATGCAATGAAGTCTGAAAACTCATTCATATCGTTAAATGATTTTTTTTTCCTCCATCCCTTAGAGATATGACATGATCGTTTAGAGTTTGTGACATAAGATGACGGTGTTTATTCCATCTTCATCATCTCCAAAACACCGCTTGTGCCACAAGAGCCAAGTAAGCAATATTAAGGAATGCAGTCACTTTAAACGGAAACGTTAGGATAGGGATTCACAAAACTAGATAAATGGAGCCATGTACTACTTTTAAATGTGCAGATGTAACTCTGACCTAGACTTTCAACTTTCAGACAGCTGGTTCCTAGTTCAAATTTCGCTCCATCTGCTTCAACTCGAGCGACTGAATGGTATCAAAATTCCATACTACTTAAAAAATAAACACGTATCTCACTGAGTTCTATTATTAGTTGCTACTGTAATATTCACAAACGTAAGAAACAGGTTTGAATATGCTCTAGAATATGATACTGATTTGTCGAGTGTTGGTCTATGCCTGTTATCGGAAACTGTTGGAATAAGATCATCAGGTTACCAAAATACAACAGTCGTCCACTTACAATGACACTTAACATCAGTGATCATAGTTGGGAAATTCTTCCACCAGTATTCTGGAAGGTGAGAATTAAACTCATTAACAGTGATCATATAGACAAATACTTCCTTTCAACCATATTTGCAACATTGCCAGATTCACTATAATACACCATTAACAGGACAGTCTTAGAGTGATTATGTGTTCCGAAGCTTCATATTCATGCTTTCTACCCCTCCACACCTATATGATTTGCTGTACACACAAAGCCTCCAGACGTGCCTATCCACAGTCAGATCAATTCAGTTTCAAGAATACTGAGAAAAGTAAACAGAATAGTAAACTGTAGTAAGTTAAACTAACGACTCATTACAAGATGGAGTCGTGGTCATACAATGCGTCGAAAATAGTGACCCTTTCTGATATTTACATTCACCATAGTATAATATATATTCAGTTAGTTGTGTGAAAGATGTGTAGCGTCAATTCGCTACAAAAACTTCAGGGTAATGTTACCATATTGGGAAAAAAACATCCCATCAACACCGAAGGTCCCTAACCAGCTGCAGACGATCCAGTCACCGGAAGAAAGTCTCATCAATGAGATAGCTTAAAAGCTGTATACACGGACTGACAGAACCCGACAGTTGAGAACACACGGATTCCAGTTGGCTGATTGAGCGGACTCATTATACCTAGGAGCAAATTAGGTGTTTGGATAATATCCATAACGTGTTAAGAAATATCACTATGGATTTCTATCTAGAACGCAAAATGTCATTTCCTTGACACCACCAATGGGTGTCAAGATTAGCATCATGGATACTGTTAGAATTACACTACTGACCGACATGAGTAGTCCTGAGCCACTCTCGATGACCAACGACGCTCGTCAGCCAGAAATAGAACTCTGCATAGGACAAAGAACTGGGTTTACTTATGGGGACACCAGCAGTGTAAATATAGTGATGTAGCCCACAGGTTCGAATAGTGCTAACCTACTGAATGGCAGTTGGCTTATTGAAAGGACTGGTCATACACAAAACAAGACCAGGTGATTGTAAAATATGCACTCCGTGGTGAGAAATCCCACCGTGTTTCTGCTACAATTCCATCTAGTGGCAACTGTGTGAAATTATTCTGCCGATACTCTCTTAACGCTTATCTTGCATGTGAATGGCCTCGCTCACGCTTATGCAAGATAATGAGAACACAAAATATCATATGCTTGAAACAGCAGTCGGCGTCAAGATTTTCAGGGTGTGTCGTGCGAAATATACTACTGGCTGACATCAGTTGTCGGCCACTCAAAAGAATCAATTGTGCTCAATATCCAGGTTAGAATGATCCAGTTATGGTTCAAACATCTCGTCCCAGAGGCCTTCAGGAATGGTTCCATGAAAAGATGACGAATGGCCAAATTTACACGGGATGAAGTTATCTGATTCAGCAAAATAGACCTGTGTATAATCAGATCATATTTGCTAAATACACAGTATATCGTAAGAAATGTCATAATGGTTTCTTATGGATAACGAGATACCCAGATGTCATCTCGACCCAAAGTCAGTGTCAACTGCTCAGTGCACGTATCTACCGGGTGCACCTTGACTGCGTTGTAATACTTCATAGCTTGATTTGGTTTCGAAATTCACGAAGTCAATAAGCAAGTTGGAAATAATTTTGATGTAAGTGCAAGAATATCGTGTGAAAACGCTGCCTAACATGCTAGCTTGTATGTAGTTTCGACCCACTGCAAATCAACGGAATGGATATTCAACAGAATAGCTCACCGTCATACAAAGACTGTTACCACCCATTTAGAAAACAATTTGTCTCAAGAGACAGATGCCAAGTCCGAATACTCAGTAAGAATGTCATCGTTCACTACGATGCAGATACATTCAAGTAGACGAGTCCCGAATCGGAGGGAACATGCGTCCTGGATCTCCTTACTTGCCACCACTGAACACATCACAGTATCATAAAACTTGAAGTGATATCGGGGTATCTGTTCAAGGAGTCCATGTACCAACAGAGAACGAGCAAGTGGTTTCAGAGCAATATTCAACATGGAAACACAAGTAGCAATAAATACCTATGCGTGTTTGCCAATAACGAAACTTGTTAGTATTTTACGGATTTCGAGTGTCTCACATACTTGCCTGTAGCTGTACCTAAGGACGCTATACAGTATCTGACGTTTGCCAAACTAAATAAATGAGAAATGAAGACCATTACTACACTAGTGAGAGATTATTTCTTGTTAGTCTGAGAATAGTATCTGATTAAATTAAAATGCCAAAACAGACCGGTCAACTCATTCATCTTCGAGACTAGGTCTACTATTGTTATGCAGTCATTAAACAATATAGGTTGCTACAAGTAAATAAGAACTATAGAAGACATTTCAGTAAGGCTGAACTTGGTTCCCATATGTACAAAGTCACGACCGGAAGGAAATAATGAAACCATCTAGGTAGAAAATCCAGTAAGTCTCAATTTCTATGTTTAGATGAAGCTGCTGTATAAAAGCATTTATGCAAACCTTATAACCACTAGTAAAGGATTCTTGCGCTAAATACTTGCTGCCTATCTTTCCCAACCAAATATTCGATAGCTTATAGTATTCACTTCAAGACACTACGTGCACTTATTGTAGAGCAGATGTGGCAACTGCGACGGCAGACTACATTATATACCTTTATTTATATTCTAGCTCTAGACTCCTAGCATAAGCCATACGTGTGTGCACTAAGGTTGCTACAGAAATCACAAACCTCAAAAATGGTTAAAAAGTTTAAGCTTAAGCGTTACCAAAGTATAAATAGGTGTAGCCCACTCGCCGTGTTATTAACCACTTGAAGCGAGAGTCTCAATAAGAAATATGCAAAATAGTTTTGCCTGAAACAGTTGGAAAACTCCGGGCTAACTGACAGTTTGGTAGACATCCACCCTAGCAATGTCCCCTGTTAAGCCTTGGCAACTTGGAATAAATGCTCTGAAAGACACACGTTAGTTTCGCAATTTGACCGTTCGATCATATCCCGTATTGCAGTGAATTGTAATGATCTGGTCACCTGAACTGGTCATGTAAACCTTTGATTACAAGTGTGTGGATGATGTTCAGCTCCCAACATTCACACCAACCGTCCTTGGTTTGGTTGCGGTTAGTTTGAAAACAAGGGTATCGATAACAGACCCACTAACAAGGAAGGTAGTTGCCACCGGATACGGTGACAGGCGTCAACCTGACTGGCCAGGAATTTCCAGTATCATTTCATGGGAAAAGAGATCCTCTTCAGATGACGAAAAAGTTGTTTTAAAGATTGTACACCATGCAGCAGATTTCAAGTAAAAGTGAAGATTGAGCAAACTGTATCCATAAAAGACCACTTCCTATAGGATCTTCGTCCCCACCAGTTTCTAGAATAGCAAGATGCTGACATTCAAACAGAAGTCCCGCTCCTTAATCTGAAGCCAATATTTAACTCTGATGCCTAGGGTTTATGAAACAACAATAAACCATCAGTAAGCAACTCCAATGTCTAAAAACACCTGATGTATGCAGCATGTCCTGTAAGGTTCGACACCTTCCATAGAACGCCAAATTATTCAAAGCTGTGTTGTGTAACGTCAGTACGGCGATTTAGCAGTCTTTACAGGACTGTTTTTGTCAAAATTCGAGAAACAACCTTTGTGTATTACGAGACATGAGTTGTTAAAAAGATTGAAATAGCATCCAACATAATGATAAAAATACCACCTGCCTCCCTTGAAGAGTTTAATACCCTTAGGATTGGTTACTGCTTTTACTAGCTCTAGGTTTGTGTATTGTTATACATAATCCTTCTTTGGCTAAGGTCAAGGATACTATGGATCTGCTCAAACGTTTCTTTAAATATTTCGTATCAGTGAATCAGTTAGTGAAGACTAAGTGGCCAAACAATATGTTCTGCTTTCACAACACGTTGCATAACAAAGCACTGAAATATCTGTAAAAGCTTCAAATCGCGATGAAATGTTGAACTCAAGTGATCACACGATAGAAAATCACTATGAACTTTAAAAGTCAACAAAGAAAGTTACTAATGAAACAGGAAATATAACGCAAGCTACACACCTATGAATGACGTATCTTGTGTTACAACAGATATAATCGCGTACCGCAGTTAGACAGAAAACCCACTAACTTATGATTCAAATGAAAAGCCGAAAATTAGAATTCGTATCGTCGTTGTACTTTGTAGGGGTTGTATTAGAGACGTTTATATCCACAACTTGATAAGCATAATTCAGTACGATCTGCAGTTTCTCTTTAGTACATCAAAGATAAACACATGATGAAACTGCCAATACTACTCAACATGAAATTAAACAAAACGATTGACACATCCATGTTATGTAAATTCTGTTTTATTGCCCAATTAAGCACCCTAATGAACAAATTGAAGGATAAGGAGCAATAATGTCCGAAGGTAAGACAATAGCAAGGGAAGTTAGATGGAAAAATAAAACACAAAGAATTATTGACCAGAAATCCAGCAGAAAAACCTGAAACTGATTCAGCTTGGAACAAATATCAAATATATGGGTGGGCTCAAAGTTTGTGACCAGTTACAGAAAATCAACAATATCATCGGGCATCTCAAGAATCTCTGTATTATAGTACTGCTGCAAGCCACTAAGAGCTTCCATTTCAGATTCTGTAACAAAGTTAATAGCTGTTCCTTTGCGACCAAAACGACCTCCTCTACCGATTCTATATAAGTAAGTATTAAATCAACAAATAAAAGCAACAAACCTGTGAATGTAAGTTTCGCGATTACTGGGTAAGTCATAGTTAACCACTAGGGAAACTTGCTGTACATCAATACCACGTGCCAGGACGTCAGTTGACAGTAAAATACGCGATGACCCAGTACGATATTCGCCCATAACACGATCACGTTCGTTTTGGCTCATGTCACTATTCTAAAGAATGAAATAACTAAGTTTCAAAAAGACGAATTACAATGCAAGAGACTTGGAATTTTCGATTCACCAACTTTTCATACAAATCAGAAGCCTTTCGTACAGAATTAACGAAAATAACGACTTGGCTCAGATTCATTATACGATATAAATCCATCAAAGTTTCCAATTTGAACTCTTCCTTGACTACATTAATGTAAAACTGTTTGATTCCATCCAAAGTCAATTCTTCTTTCTTAATTAAAATCTGAACAGCATCTCTCATTATACTTCGCGCGACAGAAAGTATTTGCTTCGGCATAGTGGCAGACAATAGCATGATCTATTTTTTTATGTCAGCATTTTGAAGTAATTACCTGAGCATTTTCCGGTAGAAATCTGTATATTTCCTTTATTTGGGATTCAAAACCACGATCCAACATTTGGTCTGCCTCATCAAGTACAAAAATTTTGATTCCTGCTGTTGTTAGGATACCGCGACTCATCATATCAAAAACACGACCAGGTGTACCAACAACAACGTGCTGACCTTGTTGAAGCGACACCACATCTTCAGAAGTTCTTATCCCGCCGATACATGTGTGACACTTTACGTTTAGATAAGTGCCAATGCGTTGCACAACCTGAAAATATTTTTTAGAATTAAACAGAGTACCGTTTGAATTTGTCTCGCAAGTTCTCGGGTCGGGACCAAAACAAGTGCTTGGCATGTGTTGGAAGTAACATCTACTCTCTGCAAAATGCTAATAGCAAAAGTGGCTGTCTTTCCGGTACCAGACTGAGCCTGAGCGATAACATCACGACCCTCGATGCATGGTTTGATAGCTCGCTGTTGAATAGCAGATGGTTTTTCATAACCATAACTGTATATACCACGGAGAAGTTCTGGTTTTAATCCCAACTTATCGAAGCCATCAACAATTTCGTGATAATTGGTTTCGATTTCAGAATCATCTACAGGATTGCTGAAGAATAAAACGAAATTAACAAATGTAGGCCATAAAAAGCAAATATTAAGTTTGAATAGCAGTGTCAGTATCGATCGGTAAACCCTACTCAAAATTTTAACTTTAAGATTCGTAAATCTCATCCGGTTATATAATTCCAGAACGAAACCACCCAAGATTGCATTTGGATTGCTGAAAAAGCTGAAGGTAAATTGATTCCAAATACTCACAATTCTAAGCGGAGTGGGAGTTGATAACACTGCGACAAAAAAGGCAACAGAAAGTTAAGGGCGAACAGAAGTAGTATAACGATTTGTTTGGTGACTTTGAGGAACCTTTTCCTAAATATTCACTAAGAACGCCGTCCCAAGAGTTTAAATGATGCAGGACTGAAACTATGAAACTTCCTTTAAGCACTACTTTCAGAAAACTATAGTGATACTTTTTCAAATATTTCACTACTGGACATTTTACTGTACCAACCTCGTAATCAGAAAGCATAGTGATACATTTTGGTCTGTATTAGTACCAGTTTTTCGATTCATTTGTTCTTCGTATACTACTGTGAAATGTGGCAACTTATAATGATGCACTTAAGAATAAGGCTTCACGTTGATTTTGTCTGTCTGTCTGGTGTAGGCAATAATCGCAAATATTCCCGGTTATAAAGACAGAACCACATATTTCCAAACCACGTTATCCCCCAAATATGTAATAGGACAAACACTGAACTTTTACGAACGGACTAGCAAATAAGGCCAGAGTTCACATTGAAGTTCTTTATAACTTCAAGTCAAATCATCTTGAGGTTAAACATGCTAATCCAGAATCTTGAGTTAGGTAGTGTTAGCCATGCTCATATTTAAAGATATCTAAAAGCCATATACTTGGAAGACACAGAGAATGGAAGCGAGAACGAATGGATGTGAAGGCATCAGCTTCAAAGATACTTCCAAAAAAGGACTCATTACTGTTACTGGTTGCAAACTTGAGCCATATCTGCTGTCTTCTCAAGTCACTAATTGGCGTGATGTCCTAGGCCGCGCACACGGGGTCATGAAGCACTTACGATGCTAGCCTAACACAAATACCTTTCAACCCACGACACCACATCAAACAATGGTCACGACCGGTTGCAGGGTAAGCGAACAGTGGGTGGTCTGACGCAAAACAAACGTAGAATCTCGCACAAAAGTGTATCGCCTTAAGTTGCTACACTTTTACGATAGCATACAAAGAAAAGGTAGATGGAAAAGTAATATTGAAGGAGATTAGCGTATTGTGAGAAAGGGAATTCGAAAGTCAGTTACTGGATATGTTCACGTTTAAGAGGACGCCAAAAAGTGGATAAATCGGCGCCATTTACACCGAATTTCAGACATGTAACTACAGGTTTCCGACCACTGATTCTTGCCATCTCGAAGACCGCAGCCATGAAGTGTACACCTCCTAACATGGCTCAGACCAACAGAACCTCGGACTGATGTCACATGTCTGGCCACCAACACCAACACAATTTTACCTCGGACAATATTCTACGTTGGTGCCGTCACGACGTTAGTCTGACGGTAAAAGGTCGGGTTTACAATTCAGTGCGAGCAGTTCTGCTCTACGCCTGTGAAACCTGGACTCCCTGAGCTGAGGATATGCAACGACTGTGTTCGATCATTGTTGTTTCCGTAGGACTGCTCGTATCCAGTGGCAACACTAATTCTGAGGTACGACAGCGTGTGTTTGGGCATGATGGAGATCATCATTTAATAAGTGAAGTCATCTTGAAACACCAGCTTCGGTGGCTTGGATGTGTTACGCATATCATCTCAACGGCTTCCACAACGTTCATTGCTGGGTAACAGACTGGATAGAAGCGGATGGGTGGCCAGTGTATGATGTGGCGCGGTGGGATGAAAGATAGTTGTATCGGGTTGGCATCTGTTAGTGCATCACGACCCCCTGGGTAGGGTCCAAGAGGTCATGCACATCAATGGCTTGAGACGTTATTAGATATGGCTCAGAATGGAAACCAATGGCGGTCATGCTGTAACTTCCTCCTATCTTCTGTTGCTGAAAAACAATGTTTCGTTTCCAATGTACCTTACTGGACCGCCCTTCTACTCGTTCTATTCTTATTGTGCTTTATGTCTTCATAACGCTGTTATATTATTTTGTATGGCGCATTTCTCGGTGCCCATGCTGTACCACGTTTGTGTTTTAGTAATAATAATAACGATAATAATATTCTACGTCGATGTAGGCGATGGTCTGGCATGCGAAACACATTTCTACGCCACCTCAGTCTTTCAGAGTGCACAACATTAACGACTGCTACGTTTATTGTCCGCCAAACTTTGACATCCCTCACAACGATCTTCCTACACGCGAGAGATGCAGCGAAGACACATGGTCGAAATCTTGCGATCTCATTGTCATCCTTTTCGGCGACCATCTTACAGGAACAGAACAGGATAGAGCAGAGTAGAGTACACTCGTCACACATTCAGCAGTCGTGTGCGTCGCCGGCGTCAAAAGTGACGAAAGTTGGCAAACGCTAAATGGGTCTTTCGCATCCGAGCTAAGTTTTTGTCAGCAACCACCACGGGCTGATGTGAATCACCAAGCAACTGATGTCATCAATGTATTCTACTACGGTATAGGAGCTGTTTGGGAGATACATGAGCACCAAGGTCGGTATTTTAGGGTGAAAACACTCAAAGAATGACAATATTCATCACGCTTAAACACATGTCACCTACCTTAGAATTACCTGCATCCTGCAGAGACAATGGTGTTTCACACGGAAATACCTAACTTACGTTATGCTGAAATCCTTTGTGGGTGGTTTGACAGATAAACGAAAAACGTAAGATATAAGAAGTTATTTGTTCAGATTGCTACACATCCCAAAAGTATCACAAAAACCAGAAGCCGAGTTTAAATATTGCAAACAAAAAGGAAACGCGGTAAAAACAGGTGTGATAAACAATAAAGAGCGAGAACTTTACCACGGAAACACTAAGTTAAGACCATATTTTACTTGTGTAGGCGTTAAATTGTCTCCAACAATTCTGGGTTACCATCCTTAAACATCTGTGGATGTAGTGTATCACGGTCAGCCAGTTTTGTTTCAGGTTGTCCACAGCCTGCCCAAATCATATGAGTAAAACTAGCTACTAAGCCAGCTACACAACTTAGGTCAATACATAGATCCTGAACGAGCCATAGATGTGGTGAAAATTAAATCGACACTTCAATACAACGTCCGAAACTTACGCCACTGGGAGTCAACCGTGAGACTTTTAGGACGTTTACATCCGTAAGGACAAATACGACACATAAGTGATGCTCCCTGAAAGTGGACGCCTAGATTTACCACAGATAATTTCCAATTCAAAAGACAACACCTATAATCGGTTACTTGTGAAGTAAGTCACCCTGTTTTAAGTTACTCATACACTACAGCAATTTAGCTGCACCAATCAGTCGAAGGAACACCACCACTCAAGAGTCAAATAAACTCTGCTTGAAGTAGTACGACGATGAAACCAGAAAGTGAGCGATAGCGGATAAAGAACTAAGAAACCCAGTCTACTCCATGGAAATATTGAGACATCTCAACCAGGCTGCTGATGCGAATTCAGATGGAAGCATAGAATTCTGCCATCCTTGCGCAGCTGCTAAACAGGGATAAACTAATGGGTTTGAAGCTGACGGCATATTATACTTCAGTATTACGTTAGACTCAAGGACCTAATGATATCTAAACCATCACTTAACTATAAGTAGTACCCATCAAGTCATAACGCAGTGCCGGAGATGACAAAGCATATTTGCGTTAATTTGCTGCTACATGACTTAATTCGCAAGCTTTGTACCTCGAAATCTTCAAGTCTTCACTTAGTTTTTATCTTCATGAATCTGAAGTCAAATCTTGATGTAAGTTCTTCTACAAAAGCTCATGTAACTGATCTAGTCAGGGTGAAGCTACTCTAGGGCTTATTTTTATTCATATCACAATTGAGGGGACTTCATGTTACGGAGTCACATGAATCTTATCGTGCGTACTTTCCATCCAGGCTGTAAGAAGCATCCGGAAGTCTAGGTAAGTTCCTAATGGTCCTTAACGTACATATCCTGCAGTCTCTCACCATTTCTACCATAAAAACTAGGATGCAACCATAGCGCTACTGGTGCGTTTAAGATCAGTTAGCGAACCCCCAAGGATGGTAAGATTCCATGGTTTTACCTAATTTCGTCTTATTTAGAAGGCATCGATTTCTGGATGTTAGTGTTGAATAGGCAGCTGAATGGCGCAATTGGTACGATTACTTACTATTTATGAGTCAGGAAACATAAAGCCTAGTTGATTGATTAACAACCTGAATTGTCTTCGTAGTAAGACAGGCCACTCAAACTAAGCTGACCCTCCAGCTTCAGCTACACCGGGGCGTCAAAACATACTAAAGTTAGTGTAAATGCAATAAGATTTGTCTTCATTCAACTCCCGAAACGTATGTAAAAGTGAAGCCAAGCACATCGAACTTAATTTGAGATTTACAGCACAAGAACCAACATCCACGAGATCACATGATACAATAGCTTGCTTTTCTATCCTTTAGAGAGTTAACGTGGGTGTCATATACTAGGCCAATGCATCACACTGCTGTGAAAATTCAAAACTGTTTCAATAGCGGATGTCTTCAGAAATGGGTGGGAATACGCAGTCAGATTTTTCTACACTTACTAAAACCCAGAAGAATACTTTTTGAATTCATCAGCATGTGTGAAAAGACGACAAAACTCATGGATTCATTTCGCTGAAAAGTGGCTAGACCGGTAATCGTATTGAAGACAAAGACGCTGCTGTGACAAATAAAAGATTACTTGTCCTAAAAATTATATTTCGCATTGATTAAGATGCTTAACTAAACATATTAATTAAACGGTGTATGTGTTAGATGAATTAAAAACAAAGTGTAAGACTGACAAACCTCATAACAAGCCGTTTCGCGTGACAGTAACCTAAAGCGCGCTTTGACCGATGTGAAACCTTTTGGCAAGACCATGTGACTAAACAATTCCTGGAAGCTACTAGCTGACAGTAGCCTGATTCCTTCTTGTTAATAACAAGCGTGAAGAGTTTCAAAATGATTTCAATTACGTTTTAATTTGAAAAATGCCTCTGGCTTGAGTTTAATTCAGAGTTTTCCTTGTGCTCAACATCTTCAAATCTACATTCTATAGCAGTAGAGAAGTAGCAATTCCCCGATGTCTATTTTCAGTTAATAAGAATCCAGTCCTCAATATGGAGTTTCGGTTGTTCATGCTTCCCACTGAAGATCTAAGATAAAAGAGAATACTAACAGTAGCTAAATGTGGTAGTCGCGGTTCATTTGGCATAACTCAGAAATATTATTCACTGGTTATCAACACTGCTGACTTCATGATTGAAACCCACCTTCCGATGATGAAGGCATCACTACTCTGCTAGAAGTAGGGCTTCATAGCTTATGCTTCCTAACGGTAAAACTTCTGTCACGCGTCTTCATACCTGCTGCTTCCAAGCCCACCATTTTAAAGACACCATTTCAGGCAAGATCTAGGGGTAAGTTTCGATTTCATTCGGTGGGATAGGCGGAAATATGGATGGTGCAATAAATTCAAGCCACAGAACTGTAATCCACCTGTCCCGTACAAAGTGAAGGTGTAGAACACTTAGCAGGAGCTTTGTGGCTTTTGACCTAATCCAAAGTTTTCTTATACATACACTTCTCGGTTTAGGGAGGGAAAGCTCCTTTTCAGGGTACAGTTACATGGTAACTCGTTCGACAGCAGGTGTAAATGGATCAACAACCTGCAAGCTGTCTTAAGTGGTTAAAATTTATTCGGAGCTGTCTGATAATGCGTGGAAGCACCAGGTTTCAGTGAGAAGCAATTCCGCCAGGACGCACCCTCCCATATCAATGGACCTTTATTATTACGCGTCGTTTAAGCGGTAAAATATCATCCCTTAAGCACTCATTATTATTTTTTTGTTTCTGAGGAAATCAAACACCCTTCTTGTTGAGCAGAAGCATTTTCAAGTTGGTATTCACCCCGGACTGACGTTGGTCGAAGAAATATCGGAGACCCGGAAGCACTAGACAGGTGCTTCGTCCTGTCAGGGGACTCCTCAGCAGTGCGCACCCACGATTACACTAGGGACAGAGACGAGGGCTTTAAGGTTCAGCGGACAGCATAGTACTATTGAGCCACCTGGCAGGAATCTTGCGGCACATATTTTCCACTTCTGTTAACTCACAATGTGGCGCGACCTCTATCCGGTGTCACCGTTGACTGACTTCTCTCACGTCTGACTTGGTTGCTTCCGCCCCACAATTGGACTGTTGGTGACTAGCTTCGAGAGGTGATTTCAGAAGTTTCAATGAGAACTCGGGACTTCTGGGGCCAACCAAGTCGAACGTGAAGACAATCACTCAACGACGTCATGGAGGTTGCAGTATATCCGCAGAATCTGAAGGTCCTCACTTCGATCCCCTGTGGGGGATGATTGAGCACTACCGAGAATTCCCACACTAGAACGAAACAGTCGCCCAGTGCCCTCAGATTTCCGTTGTTTTCTCGACTGATGTCAATCCGGGATGATTACGAACTTGAAGTCAATAAAGAAGTCCCCACGGAAAGCGGAACTGAATTAAAAAGATTTTCGCTGCCCACATGTATACACTGATTGGTTTTTTTCCGTTTGTGTTGTGCTTCCGAGAATTTTTCACCCATCTACCACAGTCCCGTTTCGCCGAGAGTGAACATGAAGAATTTAGCCACCAGTGTGTACCTTAGTTTGCTCAATTTACGTGCAATATAAATGTTTTATATTTAACCCCTGAATTTAGTGTAGTTGGGACTGTTGTGTGCACCTCGAAAATACAGCAAAAAGACGGGCAAAACTGATGGGAGGGTGGTATTATTTGATAATAACAGTGTTAATAACATTTCGGGTAGGGAGTTATACGAACACGTGCCACTTCTACAGGCAATATCTGAATGTTATTTTTCCCAGTTTATCTGAGAAAGTCTAGAAAGAATCAGTCATCACTCCACATAAAGTCTTCTGGAGTAAGCAGTTGTTTGAATACTGCTGGTCACAAATATGGGGCAAAAACCATGTTGTCAAACGGCAGCAGTCAAAAATAATGCAGGTACAGTCACCCAGTGTGAGCAGTTGGCTACCATTTGTGGGCATACACTCAGTTAGATTGTACTGCATACAGAATGTTGAGCGAAAATAAAGCTGAAAGTATGTGATTATTCAACGAGTTTGTGCTGTCTACAGGTAGTATGTGAAACTAGAGTTAAATACTGAGGTGGACTGGGGGAACTTGAGTCTAATATTGTGTGGTGTGATGCACAGTGTGGCGATTGCTGGGGTCCATGATGTTGCAAACAGAGTTATTTAAATAAATTAAGCCAAAGATACAGTTCTATTTAGCTACTGTTGTCATATTACGAGGGAGAACCCATAAGGTTTCACCATTAGACCATTCAATATAACTTCATGGTCGGCGCTTCAGATGAGTCCACTTTCGGTTAGCTTCGTTTCCGGGCGAACGGTTGTCTGAGGTCAGGGAACCCGCATGGTTGGATGTAAACAGAGTTTACTACCAACATTTCTAGATGCAACTCCATCTGGAGCTATGAATTTTGGGGGCTTCGTAGTCTGGAATGAATTGTCTTCTGGTTTTTTCATCTCTACGCGGTAAAAGACGACAGTTCGCACACGCTGAACAGAACTTCAGTGTTAAGTGCGCGTTCGTTTCATCCGTGGTCGTAACTTGCATATCTTATGAGAAAAAGAAACATAGAGGCATGAGATGTGGGTCAGTTATCCTAGAATTTAGAGAAACAATACGGCGGACTGAAGTATCTCGAGAGAACACGAGGCCTCTGAAGGGACTACATGGTTCAACATTCTACTTATAGAGTACCTTTGGGGTTTCACATGGTGCATTTTCCCCATCAGAGTTTAAGCTGCATTACAAAAGCCTAGAGATGGCGGCTCGGTCTTTCATTTGATAACCAGCAAGAGCTTTGATATGCACTTACAGGGTTGGGGGAAGATGATTACTGTGATTTCACGAGAAGGAAGGATGTAGGATGTATATTGGGTACGATGATTTGAGACAAGGATGGTTTAGGATTTGTTCTGGTGCGAACTTGACAGACGCAAAGACCAATCACTAATTATTCGGACTTGTTATATACCCACGAATACGAGACCAAGGAAGAACACGATAGCGTAGTTGGATGGAATAGTATATTTGGATGGTTGTGCCAAAACACCGATGCGTTCCAACTAACTGGCTGGAGAGTCGAATACGAGTGGTGCAACGTAACACGACAGCGTGCCAAACGGCGAGGATGCTTGACCGAGTGCCTTCAGCTTAGCGAGTCCAGTTAAACTATCAAGGTCAGCATCAATGTCGAATGTCGTTAAACCCTAGGCTATCGATTTTGAGGAAGTGTGTGACGCTACAGATCACTCCCCCCTAGTGAGTTCGTGAGGACCCTAAGATGATACCAGCCGGAAGTAAAAACCCAGTGGTTTCTCCACTGGTAAAACTCTTCCGGTGGGCTCACTGCGTGAGGTGGCCCCTGGTTGTCTGAACTTATTCTAGGGTGTCGTGGCAATTAAATAATAAAATACAATGAATGAATTGGACGTCGATCGCGGTCCTCAGTTCCTTTTGATGTTCCGTTCAGTGCACGTTGCACCTGGAATATAAATAAAAGTCTTTAATACCACGAAAACGTTTCGTAAAAATGAGAATTATTTATATATAAACATATCGAAAAATAAAAATTTACGCTTATTTTCACTTTTAAAAAAAATTTCATTATATGGTAATTTGGGCTAGAAAAGAGCCTAAAGGGCCTTTCGTGTGTCGCGTGACTTTGCACTTTTGACAAGCTAAGCACGACTGAGCCCACTCCTTAACGTCTTTGTTCATCCCAGGCCAGCAGAAACGTTGTGCGATAAGCCTAATGGTGGCTCGTACACCTGGATGAGAGAGTTTGTGCAACGTATTGAAGACGTTGCGTCGACAACTCTTCGGAACTATTGGGCGTGGTTGACTAGCAGAGACATCGCACAAAATTGTATCCTTGTCTGATCCAACAGGACAAAGTCGCAGCTTGAGAGTTGTGGACGACAACTCATGATGCAGCTCAAGGTCTTCCTTTTGACGCCGAGCTAGTTCAACGAGATCAACGCCCTCGATATGATTTATCGAAGCTATTCGAGATAGTGCGTCGGCTGCGGAGTTGTTTGCTCCAGAAATGTGGCGGATGTCTGACGTGAACTGGGAAATGTAATCCAGCTGTCGCGACTCACGAGGGGAGTATTTGTCAGACGCCGAGCTGAGGGAAAACGTTAACGGTTTGTGGTCTGTGAAAATAATGAAATCACGACCTTCCACAGAATGTCGAAAATGGCGTACAGAACAGTACATGGCTAGGAGTTCCCTACCAAATGTACTGTATCTTGTTTCCGCGTCTTGCAGCCGCCTCGAGAAAAAGGCTAACGGTTGCCACTGGTTGTCAGTCAATTGTTGCAAAACTGCTCCAATTGCTGAATCAGATGCATCAACAGCAATACTCAGAGGAGCATTGGGGTCATGATGCATAAGCATGGTTGCGTTCGAAATGGCTTCCTTGACTTTAGAGAAAGCAAGTCTAGCCGCGTTGTCCAGAGACACGAACTTCGCAGTTCCTCGAAGTAGATCTGTGAGTGGTCTCATGACAGAGGCACAGTTAGGGATAAACCTTCGGTAATAACTTACCAGGCCATTGAAAGTGCGGAGATGTTTCACAGTGGTCGGCTCTGGATAGTTTGTGATAGCCGCCACTTTATCTCTCAATGGGCGTATACCTTTGTTGTCAATGGTATGCCCAAGGAAGCTGAGTGATTCAACTCCTATTTCACACTTCTGTAAGTTGACTGTGATGCCATGTTTTTTAAGTCTTTCGAATGCGAGGTCCAAATGTTTAAGGTGAGTTTCC